CTGTTCCTTCTTTTGGCATGTGCACGTGTGTCTCCTCTATGTCTCTATGTCTCTCTGCCTCTTCTTTAAGTAATAAATGTTCATCTTTATATTCAGCCTTATGTTTATTTATTATGTCCTGTAAGCCTTTTATCTGCCGCACCTGGTCACCCGCCCGCCTGACTCTTCTGGCCGCATGGCTGGTACCAGCCTGTCCGGGATGAGCCCTCTGCCGCTTCCCACGGGGAACCTATACCGCTCTAGTCATCTCTGCCTGGACTAGCAGCTGCGGTCACCCCAGAATTATTTTTAAAGAACAAAAATAAGCTCCCTAGGGTGGCAGCCATCAGAAAGTCACCTGTGTTACCTCTTTCTGGTCAGCTGTCACATGTCAATCCCTCATTGCTGGGAAATGAACACTCCCATATGGATGAGGATGCTTGGTGAATCCCATTCATTTGTGTTTACTTCCATTGAAGACGCAAGTACTGCACCAAAGGAGAGCTGGTCCCCACATTCCCAGTCTCTGTTCCTACAGAAAATCAAGATCAAGTGAGCCTTTGCCCTATGCTCCATGGGAGGGTTCTGTCCTCCTTGTCCTCCCTGTCCTCCCAGTTGAAGTCACTGGTTCACCGTGTTGGACTTTGGTGGTTTCCTTGCTATGATCCACTGTCTGTTCCCTCTCTGCAGGGAATCAGCCTTTGCTCAGGTCTCCCCTGAGCAGTGTCACACAACACACACCTAGTGGCTTTTTCTCTTCGATGAACAGACAGAGCATAGCGTGTTCACTCATACATGCCTGGCCTTCTGCTTCTCAGCCTGCTGTAAGCTTCATTTAAAAAGCCATTTTCAGGCCAGCCCTGACACCTAGTGGCCAACGTTGCTGAAGTGAAACGGAGCCCTTTCTCCACAGAGTGAGAAACTTTATTTGGAGCCAGGAAATGTGGATAGACTCTGATGTATGCGTCACTGCTATCTCACAGCAAGCAGAGCTTTCGGATAGGCGGGAGCTCGTGTCTTCCTCAAACACTGCAAAAGTTTTACCTCATAGTAAGGTTTTGACCATTGTATTCTATAAAATAGATTGGAAACATATAGATTAATAGGGAAAAATAAGTTTTATGACTCATCAAGAAAGGATAAGATAGAGAAGCATTTGGGGTGCTTAAAACAAGCCTGGGGGGTCTCTCCTCCCGTCAGGTTTTAGGCAGGCAAACCCCTTCAGGATGAGCTTTCCATTTGCTTCTTCATTGTTGTTGTTTTTTGGGGTTCTCAGCAAGTAGCCCAGGCTTGCTTCAAACACACAAACCTCCTTCATCTCCTCCCAAGGTCTGAAATGCTGATCCAAGATCTGAGATTCCCATCCCTGGCTGAGTTGGATTTTTGATCGGTCAGTCAATCAATGTTTAGAAAAACTTCTGACTCCTGAGACTGCCCTGAAGCCAGCATGTTATTGATGCTCTCCACCCATGAACAGCCCATGATCACTGGTTTTGCCCTTGGGCCTCTTGAAAGGTGGCTTCTTGGCTGCTGAAGACCTCATATGGGGCCACAGTATAAATCTCTCCACTTAGCAGACAAGATTGCCTGACAAAATTTGGGAGCATGGTGGCGGTAGAAGGAAGGGGAGAAGGGGAAGAGGAGGGGTGAAGGAGAGGTTTGGGGAGAACTTGAGGTAATGGGATAGTCAAGATGGAGGAAGGAGAGATATGAGAGTAAGGAAAGAGATATCCTGATTGAGGGAGCCATTTTGGGGTTAGCAACAAACTGAGCTCTAGAAAAATCCCCAGGAATCCACAAGGCCCTGAGAAATAGAGGAGAGGGTGCCTGAACCAGCCTTGCCCTGTAGTCAGACTGATGATTATCTTAAATATCACCATAGAACCTACATCCAATAACAGATGGAAACAGAGGCAGAGACCTACATCGGAGCACTGGACTGAGCTCCCAAAGTCCAGTTGAAGAGTGGAAGGAGGGAGAGTATGAACAAGGAAGTCAAGACCATGAGGGGTTTACCCACTGAGACAATTTGTCTGAGGTAATGGGAACTCACCAACCCCAACTGGACTGGGAGTGAATGAGCATGGGATCAAACTAGCCCCTCTGAATGTGGTTGGGGCAGACTGAGTGGCCAACAACAATAGCATTGGGATTTGTTTCTACTGCATGAACTGGCTTTTTGAGATCCTTTTCTCTCTGGATGTAAACCTTGCTCAACCTAGATGTAGTAGGGAGGGCCTTGGTGGGGTGTCTTGCCATCTTAAGATCTGAAAGGGTAAGGGGGAGGACATATAGAGGGAGTGGGAGGATAGTGGGAGGAGGGAAGGAAGTAGGAATTTGGATTAGTATTTTTAAAGTAATAAAATAAAATAATAATTTTTTTAAAAAAATCTCTCCACTTGATATTTGACCTAGAGGTCCCTGGTTGCTGGGCATGAACTGGACTGAAACACTTGGTCTGCACTGGTCTGAGGTCCATAATGGCTCACTGTCCCGGGCAGCAGTCCTGCCTTGGAGCAATGTTCAAGGTGTTTTCCTGGGCATTGTCCCTACCTTTTGAAGCAATGTGGGCATTTCTCTGGGTACTGGCTCTGAACTGGGTAGGAACAAAAGGGTATCCCACGGATACACGTCTGTTCTCACAGAACCCTGTGGGCATTTCCTTAGTACTAAACATGCCTCAGCGTCAACCCTGGTTCCTGACCTTCCAGAAAGTCAGCATCCAAGGAACCTTCTGAGTCTTGGTCTTGCCCTGGCTGCACCCTAGTAGTGGCTATCTGAGCTATGTGCCTGCCCAGAAGTCAGGGAGTGGTGATTTCCTCATAAACTTAGTGTGCTGGTTAGTTTTTGTCAACCTGACACAAACTGGTAACCTGGTAACCTAGGGGAAACATCTACCAAAGAATTGCCTTCATCAGATTGGCCTGTGGAGACATTTGTGGGGCATTTTCCTAACTAATGAATGATGCGGGAAGGCCCAGCCAACTGTGGGCAGTGTCGCCCCTAGGTAGATGAGATGGTCTTGGGTTGTATAACAAAGCAGCTGAGGAAACCAAGATCAGCAAACAAGTAAGCATTAGGCTGTGGTCTCTGCTTCAGGTCCTCACCTTGGCCTCTCTTGGGGGAGAGCAGAAGCAGCAGTATAGTAGTGTCGGTAAAGGCAGGTGAATCGAGGCCAGTCCAGCCTGCTCTACAGAGCAAGTGGAAAGTCAGCTAGGAACTACACTAACCAATCTGAGTTGTTTGTTTGTTTGCTTGCTTGTTTGCTTGAAGAAGCTACTTACATGAATTTAGATACGATGCAGGTTGAATACCTGAAAGGTGACAACATAGCATTAGGGACAGTTTGACAAGGTCATTACAGCATTTGCACATTCAGCAACTATTAAATACCAGCGTCACACATAGTGAAGCACAGTCACTATCCTTGTTGTAACTGTCATTGTGGAGTGGAGAGCCTCTCTGTCATGGTTTGGATGTTGCAGAACATTCCTACCAGCTCACGTGTCTGAAGAGTCTGCAGAGGGTGCTGTTTGGGAAGCTGTAGAGAGCTTGGGAGACGTGGTGGAGCTGTAAGAACAGGACCCCCACGCAGGAGGGGGTGACTCCAAAGCTGATTAGCCAGCCCCCTCCTGGACCTCCGCTACCACCATCACTTTCCCCACCTTATCAGTTGCCCTGGCACAGAGATGAAAGCCTTAGAGGCCATTGTGGCCCGAAGCCTCCCCACAGTCAGCTGTGGATGCCACCTCCTGTTTTCCTGGAAACGTGAAAAGACTCAGCTGCACACTGTATGAAAGTGTAGGTATCTGGGCTTTGGTGTGGACCAAGTCAGTTCTCTCTCTGGCCCGGCTTAGCCCTGTCATTGGTAAGTCCTCAAAATGTTACATCCTATTCTCCCATTCTTTAAAAAAAAAAAGGAGGGGGGCCGGGATGCAGCCTGGATCTGTAGGAAATCTGGCCTCGGCCATGAGATCTTCACCCATGAGAGCTGGCTCAACTGAAGCCATGCTAGGAAGATGGGAGGAATACTTGTGTCCCTGTGGTAGTCATGCTTCCAAAAGGGGCCTCCTCAAAACTGACTGATGCTTGCAGCTTCCCCCACGAAGTACCACAGCATGTTCAACTTTTTGGTCCTATCTCAGAGAAGAGTAATTTTCCCTTCTGATTCTGTTTCTTTGCCGTACCAGTCACAGCTCTGAGATGTATTCCCGTATTCCTGTACACTCTGGAATCCCTCTCACACGCTCTGAAGCCTCTCTACACCCCACCCAGTTCCTCCACCTGGCTGACTTGCTGGCCTCCAGTGCAGCAGCGAGGGTTTTCTCCCACCCCCTTCCACTGTCCCCCGTCCTCAGAGTTGTGTAGAGGCTTCTCCCAAGTCTTACTGAATTCTTTTCTTTATGAGACTAAAAGTGCGAGAAAAGGAATCCCAGCACTCCCCGAAGCCCCTCATAGCATGAGCCTAAATAAAGCCCTTCCTCCCTAAAGATGTTTCTCGTCAGAGAATGAGTCTCGGAGAAATGAAAATGGCAGGTAGAGCTAGCCCCATGGGACCAAAATGTGAGACGAGCCACTGAGGGCTGTGCCAGCTGGGACTGGTTCACTAATGCTCTGACCTCACAAGGAGCCATTATGAGCAGTGACAGACAGCTGTCCCTGTAGCGCCTAGGACTGGTTTGTGTCCTCCTGTGCAGAGAGCTGTGTGGTGATGATCCGTAGGACTTGGAGGTTGGTGGTTGGTTGGACTGACCATCTACTACACTTAAAGAGTGTATTCTTTCCTGCTGTTTTGCTCGCACAAGCTCAGAAGTTTGGGGCTTTTGTGCATCATGTGGCGTTTTTCATTTGGGTGCTTTGATTTCAGTCTTTGACTTGTTTATTTTACTTAATTTCATGACTTAACCTTCATATGCATTCATTTTTGTTTGCTGTTTGTTTTGTTTTCTTGATTTTTTTTTTTTGGTTTTTAGAGACTGGGTTTCTCTCTGTAGCCCTGGACATCCTGGAACTCTTTCTGTAGACCAGGCTAGCCTCCAACTTGGAGACTGGCCTGCCTCTGTCCTGAGTGCTGAGTGACCTGTGCCACCACCGCTTGGCAAATATCCATTTCTCTTTATCTAACTTCCTATTTTCCTTTGTCACGCTAAAACTGTAACTTTCTTTTTCTTTCCAACTTGACCTTAGCGTGAATTAATTGTACTCCACTGACATTTTGCACACATGCACTTTGACTGTGTGAGCCTGCTCCTTTCTGCTGCTCTCTACCCATTCCGACTTCTGTCATCCAGCTCCCTCCCAGCTCCCTTTCCTTTCAGTCCAGCCCCAAACTGCCCAGATCCTGCATTATATAACGAGAATAACTTGGGATGTTTGTCTTTGTTGGGCTAGGTTATTACATGTAATACAGTAGCCTCAAATTACCTCCATTTTCAGAAAATAGCAAACTTTCATTCTTCATGGGCACCGTGTGATTGTGGCCCCTAATATTGTTTATATACTGTCAGTCTTTCAGCTGGGGCGTGTCGCTTCCCATGCATTCCTGGGTAAGCCTATCTTGACACTCAACTGTGGCCTTTAACTCAGTGCCTTTCCCTCCTGACGGGTTCCTTAGCCAAGAGTTTCTGTGTTTTGCCCTTTGAAATGGGGATCCTGACTCTCTTGTCTTTCCATTGCTTTTTCTATCTGCCCTGATCCTCCAGTCTTTCCATCCACTGTGTTTGTTCTTGTGTTCTTGTTTTCCTGTGCCCAGGAAACATATCCTGACTTTTTCTTGAGGTGTCCTTGATAGCTAATCTTAGAATTTATAGTGATGGTAAAAGTCACTATAAAGGATTTAATTTTTCTTCTCGGTCACCTTTGCTTGCTGTTGCTACTGGTCACTTCCCCCAAGAGAAGCGAGGAAAAATGACGAAGACAAGAAAGTTTACCACCAGTTCCTTCGAAGGGCACACCCTGGCCAAGGATTACTATGTCATAGGCACCATCGGTGAAGGATCCTTGGGAAAAGTCAAAGTGGCTCTCCACCTTGTGACCCAGACCCTGGTCGCCATCAAAATATTGAAAAAGGGCACAAGTACCGAACCCCTAATCAGCTGTGAGATTGAGCTCCTGAAAGCCTTACAGCATCCTCACATCATACAGCTGCTGCAGGTCATCGAGACCAAGCAGAAAACCTACCTGGTGATGGAATATGCTGCCCGGGGACCCCTGCTGAAACATGTCACTAAATGCGGACATCTGGAGGAGGAGGAGGCACGGACTCTATTTAGGGAGCTGACTCTGGCCATCAAATATATCCACAGTCACAATATTGCCCACAGAGACATCAAGCCTGAGAACATCCTACTGGATTGGGAGGGGCACATCAAACTCAGTGACTTTGGTCTGGGAAAAAGATTCGCCTCTGGGGAAAAGGTCAAGGGCTTCTGGGGCACGACTGAATATTGTGCCCCCGAGGTGTTCGGTCTCACAGAATATGAAGGGTTTCCCACTGACATCTGGAGCCTTGGAGTGGTCCTCTACCTTCTAGTGACCGGATACCTCCCATTCCAAGACACGGAGCTATCCACGATAAAGGCACAGATTCTATCCCGAAACTGTTGGATCCCACATCACCTCTCCCCAGAGCTTCAAGACCTACTAAACCAATTAATGACAGTGGACCCCACACAGAGGCCACTCATCGTGGAAGTCATGGCACACCCGTGGCTGCGCCATGAGAAAGACTCATTGATTTCCTTGGCAGAAATCCCAAGAGAACCAGACCCGGATGTTGCTCTCCAAATGTTTTCAATGGGGTACAAAATTCAAGAGATCAAAAATGCCTTGAACCGAAAACAATATACTCGTGCCATGGCAACCTATTTAATTCTTCAAAAGAAGCAGAGGCAGCACAAAAATGACCAAAATGGAGAACAGGATAGTACAATGGCACCAGAAAAATCTCCCAACTTCCCTGTGCCTCTAAGGAGGATGTTCAGTGTCCCTGCCCTTCCCACCTTCACTTTGCCTATTCTCCCTGGGCTGTCTGGAGACAAGAGGAAAGGATGCAGGGCACATAGTGATCCTCCTACCCTTTCCTCCCTAAAGAGGGCTCTCCCAGAGAAAAACTCCCCACAGCACGAACCTATGTCTCACCTTAAAATGGCAACATTCAGAGACACTCAGTGGACCACGGAGTCCACATCTTCATTGGCAACAACATCCTCAGTGTTTGTATCCTCAGAAGTCTCAAGCTATGAAAACATCCAAGATATGAGCTATGATACCTCTAAGATGATAGACACGGATACAAGCATCTCCTTCCAGGAGTACACATCCTGTGAGCAAGTCCAGGGAGGCAGTACAGACAACAAATCCTTACAAGATAGCAGCCCCTGCTCCAGGGGAACAGAATCTCAGGAGCACCTCGGAGACCAGTGCCAGGGTGTACCGAAAGTCCCACAGAGACAGCAGGGCGGGAGGGACCTGAAGAAGAGGATTTCCCAAGCCTTATGCAGCCTGTGTTGCTGCCCCCAAAGTGAGAAAGAGAAAACACCCTGACAAGATGGAAATCATGGCAGCCAATGAGGAGGGTCACGGAGACAGAGATACAGGCTAAACGTAGGTGAGATAGAGATGGTACATTCTCCAGTTCATTCCTCTCCCCTTAACATAGTCTTCGCATACATGTTTAGCGGGTTGGTGACGCTGTGTCTATCTAGGAGTCCTCCAAAACCTGACCTGGATGTAGACAGACAGCAGAGGACAGTGACTGGGGGCTGTCAAGGATGTGGGAGAAGGGTTGGTGAAGAGAGCAATGGGGCAGGCTGTCAGGAGGAATCAAACTGAGGGCCCAGCCCAGAGCCAGCAGAGCTAAATGAAGTCCTGCATGTTTGCCCAAAGAGACCCCTTTCTTGTGTCTGTTTCAAGTGCTGTGGGAGACAATGTGCTCCCTGGAGGCTGATACCAGGGAGTGGAGAGCAGCGTGCTGAGGATGCTTGCAGGTACAGGAGAGAGCCAGGTAGGAAGTTCAGATGGCTGTGTGCCAGTGGGAAGCTGGGTCCATAGCACAGGCTGAAACTAGGGGCAAAGCATTGTTTTTCTATCAGGACTGTGGGAAGATTCTAGGAAGATTATCTATACTAATGGTCCTTCTACCTCTCCTCTGTAGGGAGCTCCATGCTGGGCAACGATCCCAGAACAGTCATGGCTCAGTGTGTTGCTCTGAGCAGGACTCAGAAACCCTGAGAAATGAGATCCATGGAGTGCTGGCGATTCTTGTGGAAACGGGGAAGAAACACCAGACTTCAGAGAACCTTCCATGCACAGTGGGAATGTCACCCAAGCCACCTATCTCCAGGTGTAGGTGTACCTGTGAGCTGAGGTGACAGTGGCTCTGGAAGCAGAGGACCCAGAAGTCCTGACCTGGTGGGTGTGTCTAGGAGATAAGCTGTTGATCAGGTCAGAACGAACAACAGGAGACAGAGAAGCAACAGCGAGGGTCCATCTGGAGTTCAGAAGAGTGGACAGAGTGGCAGGGACAGCTCAGCCCCATGGTTCGGGTGCAGGCTTTAACAGCATCCTGGTTACTGCACAGGATTCTTCCCACATCACCCCAGCTCTAATGTCTGATTGTGTGTGATGCTCTGAAACGAGTCATCTGATCTCTACTCTTTATAACTGGTCAGAAACACACACACACACACACACACACACACACACACTCCTCCTAACCTGCCTTGTGCACAGCTGATGCTAGAGAAGTTTGCTTGAAATGGACAGAATTTGCATTTCAAACAAGGTAACGTCATATTCCCTGTGACTTCCCCTGCTGTAAACACCTAGATGCCCCTTCAAATCATCTTGCTCTTGTCTCCACCCCCACCTGAAGCATTAAGCATCCTGCTTGAGGGCTTCATGGGAGCCACGTGAAGCCAGTATGCTCCTTGTTCCCCACTTTGCCCCAGGACATCCAGCTGCGTGCAAGGAGAGGCTGACCTACTGACTGTCCTTTGAGAAGACCCAAGGTGAGATCTGAAGTATTTGCCATTTGAGTTCAGAGAAGGAACTGGTAACAAGTATTGCAGGGGGCAGGGGAACATTGATGGGAAAACCCATGAGACCCCCTGCTCAGACAGTGTGGGCTTGCCATATTCCCACCAAGTAGAAAGACCCGGAGACCCTCAAATGTGGTTAAGTAGGAACTGGATTCCTCTACCTCCTGACCCCACTCTCTAGGGCAAAGTCATTCTCATTCATTTTACCACACAGTGGGCACCTGGCATGCACAGGTCCTTGCCACCTCTGCCTCCGCTGCTGCTGCTGCTACCTTGTTATCTCCATTGCAGGCTGGGAACGGCCAGGTGCTTCTGGTGCCAATATGTGAACATCCAAAGTTTTCTGGGGAAACTGCAGACAACCACCAGGAACATCACTCAACGTGGAACAAGCCTCGTCTGCAGGGATCTGGGAAAGGACCTCCTTTCTGAGCACAGACACCCTGAGTGGAAGAGAGGCTCACAGGTGATGTTCCCTGGCTCAGGCCATCAGGAAGTGACGGTCACAACTGAACTCTGTGAGTTTTACCAAACTCTTCCTTACTCCTGTCTCCTTGATGGACAAAGTTCCTTCTGATGGACAGAGAAGGAAGGCCAGAGCCAGACTCACAAGTGGATGGGCTGAGGAGAACAAGAAGAACGTGTTCTGATCTCGGGAGCACCCAGCACCTTACCCAGACCCCTTGTGTCTGAGGCAGTTTGGATAACTTCCTCACTGAGAGCAATTCCTCTCTGTCTTGGCAGGAGCCAAGGGAGGGGAAGGTGCTTCTTGAGTCCCCTCCACCTGCCACCTCTATTGCTGTGTGCATGGATCATGGAGAGTCAGCTGGTCTTACTGTCCCTGTGGTCACCTAGGCACAGACACCACTTCCCCAGTAAGAAGACTCAGAAAGACCGCCAGCTGTGAGGGCCAGACATACAGAACACTGAGAGTCACTTTGGAGGCTCTCTCTGTTTGCACGACTACAACAGTGACATCAACCAATACCTGCAGAACTGAACCATTGCCGAAACACCCAGAGAGGGAAAGTCGTGTGACTGCTGACTTTGTGCATTGCGTGTCTGGGTGAAGATCAGCCAGGCAGGATGGGCACAGAGAGCTGGGCACCACACGGTGCCTACAGAAGTGTGCCCAAGAGTGACACACACAGGAACCTGGACAAAATATCTGGATTGCAATACAAAGATTATTTTCTTTTCAAAATAAATCTTATTGTATATTTAAGCCACCAAGTGCCACCATTTCATGATACATCATCTCATCATGCAATTTCCCCCAGTGACAAGAACCACTGTGATCCATAATAATCCACCACAGCCACTATGTACAGTAGATCTATGGCTTGTTCCCGCTACAAACTGGCTCATTTCCGTCCTAGACCAATGTCTTCCTATCATTTTAGCATCTCGCTTTAGGTTCCTCTATGCACTATTTTCCTCCTCTTGTGGCTTTCTCTGCTCAGCATCTTACCCTCCCGTTTCACTCATGTTGACATAAATGCAGAACCTTTCCCCTTTCTGTCTCTGAAGCAGGCTGCTGCTGGGAAGGGCAGGCTGGCCAGTAACTCACCGTCCCTCTCAGGATCCTGGGTGCTGTGGTGACAGGCTTTCTCATCCTGCATTTTTAGGCCTAACCCCATTCCTCTTCCTAGACATGGAGGTGTCTTGGGCAGGCACATCATGGATTCCAACCTTCCCACACAGGTGTTGACTCCTTGACAAACATTCACTGTGACTAGAATGTTCTCTGTGCTTCTTGTTTGCTTTACACACCTGTTGCCTTCACCACCTTAAAGAGTTGATGGTTTGAAGATGTTCACAAGAGCCCAGACTTGGATGCCAAGGCCCTTTCTTCCAGTGTCTGGCTCACACCCAGTTTCTGTGTCTCCCTCTGGAACAGAAGAGAGGGGCTGTCGCTGCCACCTCAACCAGCAAGGATGACGCGACAATGGAGCTCTTCTTGCACGCAGTTTATTCAGGACCATGAACAGTTGTTTCTCTCTCGCTTCTCTCCTGTTTCTGTCCCGGGGCAGACCTCTCCCAGCCCTTATATAGGCTATGGTCGCCTATCCCGGAGTGCCACGTGGACATCGCCCATAGGCTCAAGCATATACAAGCGACACACGATCTTAGCAGGTCACGGGCCATCACCATAAAAGGAGTTATTTATCACAGAGAGCGCTCACTTTCGGGCTCGTGGAGGGCGGCAGCCGGCGCCATCTTAAAGGCACAGCTCCACGCAGCTCTCTACAGTTCCCCCTTATTTGTTTTCACACAAGCAACAGGTAAGAGTAGAGGTCTGATCTCTGTCAAAAAATTAGGAACAATATACTGATGTCTAGCCAGGTGCTGTCCACCCAGAGAAACGCCAGATCCGCCTGGTGCCTTTTGCGCAGAGGTGGGAGATCAAGCACCAACCCACATGCAATCAGACTTACTCTTCTTGAGACCAACATTACGAGCTCTCAAGTGCAGTGCACAAGCCTCGCAACCTGTGTCAACAATCTTTTAACGTAGCTAGCTATATTTGGGGAGACTGTCCTGCTTCAATAGCTGTAAAAGCCTGGATGATCATAGCTGCGTTGCAACGCTGTGAGGTCCGTATGCAACATATGTACCACAGACACACCAAGGAGGCAAGCACCATTAGACCTGTCAGGGCTCCTATTCCCGCCCACTCCTTAAAGTAACTAAAATTTCATCTCAGCATGTTAAGAAAAGCATCAACAGTAGGTAACTCCAGCCGTGTGGTGTTCAGGGAAATGATCTGGTTGCTCAAGGTGTCCATCAGGTTCTCGAACTCCTTGCTCCATTTTCCCTGGAGGTATGCGCTCAACTGCCAGTTCAGGGTACCGTTCCTTGTAAAATTCTCAGCCAATCTGGAAGTAATACATAAAGATGAGAGGGAATGAATACATCCTACACTGGTTAAGGTTACTAAATTATTCACTTGCTCTTGTAAGAGATCTACTCTTTGGTTTACTGTCAAAATGCCAGCTTTTAAATGACCATCAATGGATTTCAGAGTAGTCATTGTGGAGGCTGTTCTCTCCGCAATTTCATTAACTGTCTCTGCAAATCTGAGTTGTTGCAGCCATGGCAACAGCAGCTGTCATGGCAGCTGCAGCAGATACAGCAATTGTGGAGACTAGGGCTGCTCTTATCCCAAAGTCTCGTTTTGTTCTGAGCAACAGAGTGATCGGGAAGGTACCAGTATCAACTCTGACCGGGATGGGAACATATGTGGGAACTTTCATCACCACAGCTGTGTTATAAGTACCATTCCAGCATTGACTTGCGAGGCAAGTTGCCTTAGAGGAATTACAATAGATCACATCCTCTGTGGCATTGGTAATATTAGTCATACAGTAACATTCGCATCTCTGCTGGCAGAGGTGTTAATTAGCTGAACAGTCAAATTATGACAGGCAGCGAAAGGCTCTAGGGATGAAAAGGCCTCTCTTTCATTAGAAAAAATCCTTTGAAACCAGGGCCAAGTATTTTTTTTTATTAGTTTTAAAACTTTTGACACAGAATGAACAGGTATAGGAACTGGCCATGCTTTTGCTATGGCCCACAAGATTTGTTCATTGGCCTGGATCAACAACAGGGACATCAGGACCGTCACCATCAGTAGGATCACAGTCTGAGGCTTCATCTTGCTTGTCATTCCTCTGCACCTGTACTTTTCTCACCAAGCGTTTTGGTACCCAAATAGGGTCCAAATGATCCTGTGGGAAAACACAAACATAACCTTGTGCCCATGCCAGCATGGGATCAGGGCCATACCAGACCCCTGTCAAAATGTCTTTCCACTTCACTAGACCTTTAGGTTGGCTATTTGGACAAGCATGTCTGTCCGCTGAAGATTGGTTGGAATTATCCGAATTTAAAAAATTCAAGGTAAATAAGGCCAAAGAAAGTCTATTCTTAGGGGATTGTTCTAAGCCAATTCCCCCTTTCTGTTTTTGAAGTATTTCTTTTATGGAGCGATGGGCACGCTCCACAATGCCTTGGCCTTGTGGATTATAAGGCAGTCCATGTACAAGATGAACACCCATACGTTGGCAAAACGATGTAAACTGTTTACCAGTATAGGCAGGGCCATTATCTATTTTTAGATAATGTTGGGGCTTGCCCCATGCTGCCCATGCTTCTAAACAGTGGGCAATCACATTGTTCGCCTTTTCCCCTGTCATAGGAGTGGCATGCATGATACCAGAATAAGTATCCACAGAAACAAGTACATACTTCAGTTTGCCAAATTCTGAAATATGAGTAACATCCATTTGCCACAGTTTAAGGGGGAACAATCCACGCAGGTTGACCCCCAAAGTTTGAGGATGATGATATATGACACATTGTGGACAATTCACGACCACCTTGCGTGCATCAGCACGGGAAATGGCAAATTTTTGTTGTAGTGTTTTGGCGTTAACATGAAACTCTTTATGAAAGTCATGAGCCCTCTGCAGGGCAGAGGCAAGAAACATCCATTCTTGTCTGGTACATTGATCAACCTTGTCATTGCCAGTAGTCAGAGGGCCTGGCAAACCTGTATGTGCTCGAATATGTTGCACAAAAAAAGGGATGTTTTCTCTGCCATAAAAGGCACTGTAGTTGGACAAATAATGCATGTACTGAACTTGATGCTTTTAAAGGTCCAGCACATTCAGGATGTTTTAAAACATTAACTACATAAGCTGAATCAGAAATCAAATTAAATGCAAAGGAACAGGCCTTAAAGACCTCTACTACTATAGCTAATTCCACATGTTGGGGGATTCCTGGGGAAAATTGGTGTGTAACAGGCTCTGCAGAATCCACCATGTAGACTCCACAACCGTTTTTGGATCCATCTGTAAATATAACACTGGCCCCTGGTATAGGCTGTGAAGCAGTTATTTTAGGGGAGATTACAGAGTGTTCTTTAAAGAATGACAGGAGAGGATGCTTAGGAAAAATTACAATCAATGTATCTGGAATAAGAGCAACTCAAGATGGCCCAATCATCAATGGTGGCACATAACACTTTCATTTGAGCATTATCATATGGGACTAGCAACATCTTAGGCGGGCATCCAAAATGTTGTAAACAGGTTAGGACACCCTGCTGAGCAAGTACAGCCACAGCAGTGGGATAATGTTCTATAGATTTAGCAGGGGAAATTTTAGGATGGATCCACAGCAGTGGTCCCTCTTGCCATAATATACCTGTAGGTTGTAAATTTGTAGGTAAAATACACAGTGTGATATTCTCCACAGATTTTACTCTTTTTAAGAATGCTTTGGATAGCCTTTCTTCTACCAAAACAAGTGCTTGTCTGGCCCCGTCAGTCAAGTATCTGGGGGAGTCCAGGGCTGCATCACCCGACAGAATCTCATATAGAGGTCTTAATTCATCATTAGTCATACCTAAGCTGCCTCTTATCCAGTTTATATCTCCTAATAACTTTTGAAAATCATTCAAAGTACGTAAATGGTCTTTTCTAATTTCCACCTTTTGCAGAACAATTTGATCATGTGTCTGTCACTTTAGATCCCAAATAATTAATCATCTTATCTTGTTGTACCTTTCCTGGGGCTATATGTAGCCCTTTTGCCTGCAACAGGTCTTCTAAGACACTGTAGGCTTCTTGTAACATGGACTCTTCCTTGACACATAAAAGAATATCGTCCATGTAATGGAGGCATTTCAAACTTGGGAAACGAGTCCTCAGATATAACATGAGGGCCGGCTTGTTGGGGTTTCTGTCCCGCCTGGTACCCCACATCCGGAAACTCCCAACGAAAATTACACACAGGACTCCATAAGATTATAAACTGATTGGCCCATTAGCTCAGGTTTCTTGTTAACTCTTATAGCTTATAGTAACCCATTATTCTCATCTATGTTAGCCATATGGCTTGGTACCTTTTTCAGCTTGGCAGGCTACATGTTGCTTCTCTGGTGGTCTGCGCAGGAGTGGAGAGGGAGCTTCCTGCTTTCCAGAATACTCCCAGTCTCTTTGCTCCACCTCTACTTCCTGTCTGGCTTTTCCGCCTGCCTGGTCAATCAGCATTTTATTAAAATATGATTGACAGAATACAGACAATTCTCCCACACCACTCAGAGGTCTTAATGCAGCAGCTACAAATAGCTGGCACATTGTGAGACTATTGGCCATCCCATGAGGCAGGATAACCCACTGATATCTTTTGTCAGACTCTTCATGGTTCGCAGAT